GTAGACACCCTCAAGGTGATCTTATTTTTGGCCACAATTTTTTTGGAAATTAAGAAACGTGCCAGTGATGAGGTGGTTAAACCATACAGCTTGTTAACTGTGCAGTAGATACAGCGAATCACAGGTCATACACAGAGAGAGGAGGTGGTGAATGGGCTTATGTTCAGGTTACATACAGTAAGAGGATGGAGAAGAAAAGGTTAAACCACGGCTCGACAATTTCCAGGTGCTAGATCGCGACGGCAACCAGAAACTGCGTGCTGGGGCACCCGCTGTCCTGTTCTCCCCCACCCCATGTCCTCGGCCAACTCCTCTTCCCTACGCCACAGAGTGGAGCCCAGTCGGAGCGCACAGTCATTGGATTTTAGGTGTTCCAATCACCTCCATGGCCACAGATGTATAAAATCAAGCACCTAGGCATGCAGACTGCTTCTACAAACATTTGTGAAAGAATGGGTCGCTCTCAGGAGCTCAGTGAATTTAAGCGTGGTACCGTGATAGGTTGCCACCTGTGCAATATGTCCACTCATGAAATTTCCTTGCTACTAAATATTCCACGGTCAACTGTTAGTGGTATTATACAAAGTGGAAGCAACTGGGAGCAACAGCAACTAAGCCACGAAGTGGTAGGCCACGTAAAATGACATCAGGGTCAGCGCATGCGGAGATGCGCAGTGTGCAGAAGTCGGCAACTGCAGAGTCAATAGCTAAAGACCTCCAAACTTCGTGTGGCCTTCAGATTAGCCAACAACAGTGTGTAGTGAACTCCATGGAATGGGATTCCATGGCCAAGCAGCTGCATCCAAGCCTTGCATCACCAAGTGGAATGCAAAGCGTCGGATGCAGTGATATAATGCACGCCGCCACTGGACTCTAGAGCAGTGGAGACATGTTCTCTGAAGTGACGAATCACTCTTCTCTGTCTGGCAATTCGACGGACATGTCTGGGTTTGGCGATTGCCAGGAGAACGGTATTTGCCTGACTGCATTGTGCCAAATGTAAAGTTTGGTGGAGGGGGAAGTATGATGTGGGGTTGTTTTTCAAGGTTTGGGCCCCTTAGTTCCAGTGAAGGGAACTCTTAAGGCATCAGCATACCAAGACATTTTGGACAATTTCATGCTCCCAACTTTGTGGGAACAGTTTGTGGATGGCCCCTTCCTGTTCCAACATTCCCAACATGACTGCCCACCAGTGCACAAAGCAAGCTCCATAAAGACATGGATGAGCGGGTTTGGGGTGGAGGAACTTGACTGGCCTGCACAGAGTCCTGACCTCAAACCAACAGAATACCTGGGATGAATTGGAGCAGAGACTGGGAGCCAGGCCTTCTCATCTGACATCAGTGCCTGACCTCACAAATGCACTTCTGGAAGAATGGTCAAACATTCCCATAGACACACTCCTAAACCTTGTGGACAGCCTTCCCAGAAGAGTTGAAGCTGTTCTAGCTGCAAAAGGGTGGGCCAACTCAATACTGCACCCTAAGACGGAGATGCCATTAAAGTTCATGTACGTGTAAAGGCAGGCGTCCCAATACTTTTGTCATTACAGTGTATTTCAAATAATAAAATTTGTTGCTGCGTACCATTCATTTATTAAAGATGAATTCCAGGTATGGCTATTTTATACACTGTTTTATTGGTCCAGCTTGGACTAATGTAACTACGTACTTTATACACCATACCTGGCCAATGCCCTGGAAGCTGAAATACTCTAACTCCACCCGGGTCCCATGATGAGCAGCCAGCCTGATGCATTCTAAACACAAGAGGTCGGCTGCTCAATATGGGTGCCAACAGAGCATGCTGTGCAGTCTGAATGAATGCCAAGCAGTCCCTGATTGGACGAGGTGAGAAGCATGACCTGATCGGTGAGGCTGGAATTCAGTTTGAACTTAAAGTGTAAATTCAGCTTTACAAAAAAAAAAAACAAAACAAAAAACACAGTATGTTGTCCCATATGAGTATAACAGCATAGTGTGCTAATACCACCTTCCAGCCAGGGCTCCCTTTATGTGTAAACAAGGATGTCCACAACTGCAATTATAAAAAGCCTCTTCAAATCCTCTGCAGCCAGTGATATCTCCATTCTGAGTTATTGCAGAGATGGAGCGGTCATTGGGGCCAATAATCTCTAATGCCATGGGAGGGAGCACGGTCCTGTTTTGTTCTATGATGAGCTCAGCAGCTGCAAAAGGAGACAATACACACTGCTCTTGTGTGGCCCACAAGAACAGGACAGTGCTCCCTTCTGTGGTACTAGGGGGCACTTGTCTTAACAGATGTTCAATCCCTACTAAGGATGAGTGCAAGCATGTGCAAATCCTAGTCCAAAGAAAGAGAAAGGAAAATAAAAAGCAAAGCAGGCTAAGGATCAACCTCAACACATAACCATGAGATATAGGCATGTATATAGGAGACCCAACAAGCCCCTTGACACATGAATAGAGAAAAATATATCCTTTATTGAAGACCTAGAACATACAAAAACCTACTGTCTAACCTGTAAAACCATAATCAGCCAATTATTAAAAATCCTAACCAAGCTGTCCGTGCACACTGCCAATGATAAGCAGCCAAAGCATTCCCCAGCCTGCAAAACGCACTTAAACAAGAGACATAAACCTGCAGCTTCAGGTTTGGGAATGCCTTGGCTGCTTATGACTGGGGGGTGTGCACCGACAGCTTTGTGGCAGGGTAGCTCAAGTGGGTTTGGACTAGGAGCAGAACAAGCCTGAGCTCATCCCTGGCCCCTGAAATAACATTGGATGAAGACAAAAGTGTGTGCAAAGGTATTGAACAAAGCTGTTGTGGACTTCCCTGTTTAACCTTTTCACTCCCTTGGAAAACCTTGGACAGAGGGGGTGGCGGTGGACGTGGTATACTTGGACAGAGGGGTGGCAGTGGACGTGGTATACTTGGACAGAGGGGTGGCGGTGGATGTGGTATACTTGGATTTTGCAAAAACATTTGACACAGTTCCCCACACATGGCTAATGTGTAAGGTAAAGTCTACAGGCTTGGAAAAATCCGTATGTAAATGGATAGAAAACTGGTTAAAAGATCGTATTCAGAGAGTAGTGATTAATGATTCATACTCTGAATGGTCTAGGGTTGTCAGTGGTGTCCCCCAAGGTTCAGTGTTGGGACCCTTACTTTTTAATATATTTATAAACGATATAAGGACTGGGATTAAAAATCCCATTTCAATCTTTGCAGATGACACCAAGCTGTGCAGCGGAATAACGTCCTTACAGGATGTCTCCAATTTACAAGCCGACCTCAATACTCTGTTTAATTGTGCAACTATGTGGCAAATGAGATTTAATGTTGATAAAAGTAAGGTTATGCACTTGGGGGCTAAGAATATGCATGCATCATACATACTAGGGGGGGAACAACTGGGGGAATCAATGGTGGAGAAGGATCTGGTGGTTCTGGTAGATCACAGGCTTAATAATGGCATGCAATGCCAAGCTGCGGTTTCTAAAGAGAGCAAAATCCTCTCTTGTATTAAAAGAGGTATAGACTCCAGAGAGAGAGATATCATATATTACCCCGGTACAAATCATTAGTAAGACGTCATCTGGAATATGCAGTTCAGTTTTGGGCACCAATTCACAAAAAGAACATTGGGGAACTGGAGAAAGTACAGAGAAGGGCAACCAAACTGCTAAGAGGCATGGAGGAGATCAGCTATGAGGAAAGATTAGAGGAACTGAATTTATTCTCTCTTGAGAAGGAGATTAAGGGGGGATATGATCAACATGTATAAATACATCAGTGGTTCATATAGTGAACTCGGTGTAGAGTTATTCACCCTGAGGTCATCACAGAGGACAAGGGGGCACTCTATGTCTGGAGGAAAAGAAATGTAATCTCCAAACACGGAAAGGTTTCTTCACAGTGAGAGCTGTGAAAATGTGGAATAGACTCCCTCAAGAGTTGGTTCTGGCCAGCTCAGTGGATTGCTTTTAAAAAAAGTCCTGGATTCTTTCTTGGATATACAGAATAGAACTGGATACTAACATTTATAGGTAAAGTTGATCCAGGGAATATCTGAAATTGCCTCTCGGGGGATCAGGAAGGAATGTTTTTCCGTGCAGGAGCAAATTGGATCATGCTTTGCTGAGTTTCTTTGCCTTCCTCTGGATCAACTGTGGGTATAGGATTATAACTTTTTTTTTTGTTTTTCTTTAATGGTTGAACTGGATGGACTTTTGTCTTTTTTCAGCAAGACTAGCTATGTAACTAACTCCTGCCCACAGTATATATACTGCAGATGGGCTGTACTGCTGCGCCAGATCACGTACATGTACGTGATCTGGCATTTCTGAGTATAGAGCACGCAGCTGTGCCCACCGCCCCAGCCTGTGCTGTCATTTGGTACAGCACAAGTCGGTCAGCAGGTCCCAACCAATGATTTCTGGCTGGGACCTGCTAAGCAAATCGCAGCACAGAGCCCTGTGTTTACTAACAACCCTGTACAGAGAGCAGCAATGTTGGAAAAAAACAGCGTGTGAAAAAAATACAAATTTAATAAGCGTACAGTATTGCATGACCGAGCAATTTCCATTTAAAGTAGCACAGTGGCGAATAGCAAAAAATTTTCTGGTCACTAAAGCAGTAAAACCTTTGGCGCGTAAGTGACTGAACAGAAAGAGACCTCCAACTGGTAGGTAGGTTTAGCACACTAGCATGATATAAGGACATGAGTGTGTTTTTTCTTTTCCTTTTTGTAAGGCCGATCTTACACTTTTAACTGCTTCCCCACCAACATATAGCAGAAGTACTGCTACAGGGCTGCGCAAAATCACATATATATATATATATATATATATATATATATATATATATATATACACACACACACATACATATACACACACACACACACACACACACACACGATTCTTTATTTCCGGGTAGGGGACGCGTGCGCCGCCCTACCCGCACTGCCATCGATGGCTACAGCAGTCGATCAACGGGTCCTGGCTGCAGATTCCCCGCAGGTACCCGGCAGACGCCAAGAAATACTGACAGAGGAGACGTCTGTATGTAAACAATACAGATCTCTCCCGTCAGCACCAGCACGCTGGTTTGTATTGCTCTGCATAGCAGAGCAATACAAAGCAGTGTGCTTACACAGTAAAGTACACACAGACAAAATAGTAATACACATACAGCTAACCCTTTGATTACCCCAGATGTTAACCCCTTCCTGCCCAGTGTCATTAGTACAGTGTCAGTGCTTTTTATTAGCACTGATCACTGTATTCGTGTCAGTGGGGATGTCAGTGGCAGTTAGTTCCCCCCAGTGTCAGAATGCCCGCCGAAGTCCCACTATAAGTCGCTGATTGCCGCCATTACTTGTATAAAACAAAATAAAAAATTTCAGTATATATACCGCCATTTGTAGACACTATAACTTTCACGTAAACTAATCAATTTACAGGTATTGGGATTTTTTTTTCTTTAACAAAGACATGTAGCAGAATACATTTTGGCCTAAATTTATGATGAAATTTGATTTTTTTTACTAGATGTTCTATAGCAAAAAGTCAAAAACATTGTTTTTTTTTTTCTTTAGAACGCAAAAAATTAAAAAAACTGCACAGGTGATCAAATACCACCGAAAGAAATCTCCATTTGTGGGTAAAAAAAAAAAAGGACATACATTTCATTTGGGTGCAGCGTTGCATGACCGCTCAATTGCCAGTTAAAGTAACGCAGCGCCGTATCGCAAAAAATTGCCTGGTTAGGAAGGAGGTGAATCCTCTAGAGGGCAAGTGGTTAAAGGAAAAGTTTTAGATAAAGCATTAAATTAATTCTTCTAAACTATTCACAACAAGAACAAAACAGGTGGAGTGACCAAATCATATCCAGTGCTGTGCAGGAACCCCCGAGCTGTGTTGCCTATGTCCCACTACTTACCAACATTTATTGTAGTGGTCCTGAATTCATTCAGGTTTCTTCCATCCGGCCGACATTTCTCCTTCTATAAAAACACAAGAGAAAAAAAAAAAAACATAAAAAAGTACTTGTGGTGATATTAACTTTGGTTAAAAAAAAAAAAAAAAAAACAATATGTGACACTTTGTCTATTGGTATTTAAACAGTATTTGCTACACCGCATACTAATGACCACAAATAATTACAGAAAGAGGTCTGCTAGACTGAGGTTCATGAAAAAAATAAACACTACCAGTGTCACCAGTGAATTTTGTTAAAAGATTTATCATGCCTTCACATGATTACATTCACAGTAATAAGGGCTCAAGACAGGAACAAAAATGTATCAAAGAAATAAAAAATTTGTCAAAGGAATTCCATAAAAAAAAAAAAAAAAAAAAAAAAGTTCAATCCCCTTTCCACCAGGGTACATTTTAGCCCGTTTTTACCCACTGCTGATTATACAGTGCATCCAGAGAGTATTCACACTTAACTTTTGCCACATTTTGTTATGTTACAGCCTTATTCCAAAATGGATTAAATTCATTTTTTTCCTTAACATTCTACAAACAATACCCTATAATGACAACATGAAAGAATTTTGTTTTGAAATCTTTGCAATTTATTAAATTAAAAAAAAAAAAAAAATGTACATAAGTATTCACAGCCTTTGCCAAGACACTCAAAATTGAGCTCTGGTTCCACAGATCATCCTTGAGATGTTTCCACAACTTGATTGGAGTCCACCTGTGGGAAACTCAGTTGATTGGACATGATTAGGAAAAACATAAACCTCTCTATATAAGGTCCCACAATTAACAGTGCATGTCAGAGCACAAACCAAGCCATGAAGTCCAATGAATTGTCCTTAGACCTCCGAGACAGGATTGTATCAAGGCACAGATCTGGGGAAGGGTACAGAAAAATGTCTGCAGCATTGAAGGTAGCCTCCATCATCCGTAAATGGAAGAAGTTTGGAACCACCAGGAATCTTCCTAGAGCGGGCCACCCGGCCAAAATGAGCAATCAAGGGAGAAGGGCCTTAGCCAAGGAGGTAACCAAGCACCCGATGGTCACTCTGAAAGAGCTCCAGAGTTTCTCTGTGGAGAGAGCAGAACCTTCCAGAAGGACAACCATCTCTGCAGCACTCCACCAAATCAGGCCTGTATGGTAGAGTAGCCAGACGGAAGCCACTCCTCAGTAAAAGGCAAATGGCAGCCCGCCTGGAGTTTGCCAAAAGGCACCTGAGGGACTCTCAGACCATGAGAAACAAAACTCTCTGGTCTGATGAGACAAAGATTGAACTTTTTGGCCTGAATGCCAAGCGTCATGTCTGGAGGAAACCAGGCACCACTCACCACCTGGCTAATACCATCTCTACAGTGAAGCATGGTGGTGGCAGCATCATGCTGTGGGGATGTTTTTCAGCGGCAGGAACTGGATGACTAGTCAGGATCGAAGGAAAGATGAATGCATCAATGTACAGTCTTGTGCAATCTTGATGAAAACCTGTTCCAGAGCACTCTGGACCTTAGACTGGGGCAACAGTTCATCTTTCAACAGGACAACGACCCTAAGCACACAGCCCACATAACAAAGGAGTGGTTACGGGCCAACTCTGTGAACGTCCTGGAGTGGCCCAGCCAGAGCCCAGACTTGAACCCGATTGAACATCTCTGGACAGATCTGAAAATGGCTGTGCACCGACACTCCCCATCCAACCTGATGGAGCTTGAGAGGTACTGCAAAGAAGAATGGGTGAAATTGCCCAAAAATAAGTGTGCCAAGCTTGTAGCATCATACTCAAAACGATGTGAGGCTCTAATTGGTGCTAAAGGTGCTTCAACAAAGTATTGAGCAAAGGCTGTGAATACTTATGTACAGGTGTTTTTTTTCTGTTTTTTATTTTTAATAAATTGCAAATATTTCAAAACAAACTTCTTTCATGTTGTCATTATGGGGGTGTTGTTTGTAGAATGTGGAGGAAAAAATTTATGTAATCCATTTTGGCATAAGGCTGTAACATAACAAAATGTGGCAAAAGTTAAGCACTGTGAATACTTTCTGGATGCACTGTAAACAGAACAGGATGAATAGCCGTTGTGCAGCCATTTTGCCTGGTAATCAGAGTATCAAACTGACTCTTTACTGAGCCAATCCGAGAGGCTTGGTATCATGTGACTGGTCATCACACAGGGGGTACGTACTATTTTTTATATGGTTGATCCCTCCCCATTCAACAAAGAAAGGAGATATATTGTAGTCATTTGTGAATGGGTGAAAAGTCAATGGGTCAGCAGCTGCAGATCCATTCGGTCAGTTTCACGGACACTGAATATTTTTTTTACTATAAAAGGATCTTATAGTAGTGTTAAGCACTCCCATGTTTTTTTAGAATGCATCTAACCCATGTTTGACATCCCTAGTATATAGTTTTCTCAATATGTTGGCACAAACTACTGTGTTGGATACTGTTGGCTGCCACCAGCTCCAGGATCCTTGTTGTGGCTTCCCTGAACTTCCTGTTAGGGAGCCCATTCACAGAGCATCCAGGCTCAAGAGAGAGTGCAGGTATCAGCTGCTGTCCATCAAGGAGCTTGGAAGGGGAGATAGTGCTTGCTGTGGGGGTGTGCTTTTGTATAGCTGCACACAGAGTACAGCACATAGCATATACACACACCTGTAGTCCTAGCTGGTGGAACGTGTGCAATGGTGGCTCCATAGGACTCTGTGAGGTAAAGGAACCAATCTAAAAATGGAAAGTACAGCCAGCAATGTGGGGACAGCACGGAACTGGAGGAAAGGTAAGGCTAAAGGGGCATAACAAGTAAGTCACGGGTGATGGCCAGGACCATCTCTCATGCTACCATCCTGGGGGATGACAAGCCTAAAAAAAAAAAAAAGCAAAACTAATGCAGCCACCAGACTTATTGGTAAACTGCAACATATTAATATTTTGCTTGTGGGTTTAATGTTGCTTTAAAGTGGTTCTAAAAGCTCAAGGTTTTTACCTTCATGCAATCTATGCATCAAAGTAAAACACCTTCTGTGTGCAGCATCCCCCCCATACTCACCTAAGCCCTCTCTCGATCCAGCGATGTGCACTGGAGTCTCAGCTATCTCAGGACTCCCTCTCTTCATTGGCTGAGGCAAAAGCCAATGCTGTCAATCACAGCCAGTAAGTCAATAAGTGGGGGGGGGGGGGCAAGCCACGGCTCTGTGTGTGAATGGACACACGGAGCAGAGGTTGCCCTCATAGCTGCTTGCTGTGGGGGCACCCGACAGAAGGGAGGGGCATGAGCGCTGGTGGGGGACCTGAGAAGAGGAAGATCAGGGCTGCTCTGTACAAACCCACTGCACACAGTAGGTAAGTATAGCATGTTTGGTTTTTTTTTCTTAAAAATCAATAAGCCTTTAGAATCATTTTAACCACATATGGGCTAAATGAGAGAAATTCAATCATTTCCCTCATTTATGCCAACATCGTGGATAGTGCATCTTCACTGCCAGCTATTGTATTCAGACAGCCGCTGCACCTATGGTTACCAGAATACACTGGCGCCGCCGAACAGGGATTGATAGAATACATTCACTTTTTGGTCAATAAATTTCCCCCAAGTCAGTCAAGTTCGTAAAAAAATAATCTTTTGCTGAGCCGGGAGGTGCTTGCAGTGCCAACCACATCTCAAATTTTACGGACTCAACTTGAGCAGGATTTAAGAACGGTCTATGGCCAGCCTTACATAAAAAAAAATATTGAACCGTTTGCTTTAACAGCTGTGCATCAGAATTATACCAATTATATATTACCTATTCATAATCACAAAAATATTCTGATTGTATTACTCACTAGAAACTTTCTGTAATATTCCAGCGGCTCCACCGACCTGAAAGAGAAAACAATTTTTTTGAGGGAGGAGTTGATCGGGGGGTTGGTAAAAATCAGGAGGTTAAGCCGTGGTTTTACCTTGCACCAACCGCCTACCTGAACAAGGGCATGCTGCCAGTCAGGGCTGTACACATGCCGTGGCAAAAATTAAATGGCATGTCACTTTAGGCTGCTTTTACCGTGATAAAAATTCAACAAAACACAATCCCTTTACATACTATGGGACTCTGCACACCACTACGCTCTGGGTGTGTTTTGAAAAGTCATGCATGCTGCATATTTGGTGCAATTTTCAAAACCACACCAGAAACACAGCTCCCCACTGAAATGAAT